TGGATTTATGTAGTAGATTTTGTGGGTTCCAGTGGTGCAGTCTCCTTGATTATCTGAATTGGGTGTTCCAGGAATGTCCCTTGTGTGGATTATGTGGGCCCCCCTGTTGTAATAGATTCTTGATTTCTATTGGCCTATCTGTAAGATTGATCTTTGGGCTGGCTGACTGTGAGGCTCAACCCCAACTGTGGTGTATGATCTGCTGTGCAGGTGCTGACCACATGAAGTGTCATTTGTCTCAGCAGGGTTTGTTACCTGCTGAGATCTCCTTTGGGTATGCCGCTTGTGAAGCTTACTGGATCCTGTTCTGATGTTGTCTGAAGCTGGCCACTGGGTGTGTTGGTTCTGGGCCTCTTAGGAGCTACTCTAGTGCAGGCCAATGTATGATGTTGCCTGTGACTGGTCCTTGGCAACCAGTCTTGATGTAGCTTCTGTAAATCCTTGGTTATTAGACTTCTTTTCAGCTAGTGTTCAGTTGGTTATTCAGGATGATTCTTCTATAATTTAGTTCATTTGTGAGTGTGTGTGTGTGTGTGTGTGTGTGTGTGGTTACCGTTAGTTTTATGCAAAAGGATTTTATAATTTCTCGTGAATGCATCCTATCTCCATTCCCGTTTGCAAATGCAGACTTCCCCCCTCTCCTTTTATGTTTTGTTGTCACAAATTATTTTATGATGTGAGTTCATTTCCAAATTGCAGTAGCTACTGTCTTCTTCTCTTTTTAATGTTTTTTACCCCCTTACACCTTTATGTTATATTTAAATGTATAATACCCTGTTCTGAAAAAGGGCTACAGTAGTCTGCTTCAGTCTGTTTGTTAGTCATTTTACTCATAGTTTTGTATCCTTTTGTCTTTTTGTTTCAGGAATACTAACCCCTTGGGTATTCCCTGTAATGGAGGTCTTTGTGGTAAATTCCTTCAGTTTCTGTATGTCTGATAAAATCTTTATTTCTTCTTCATATCTAAATGATAACTGTGCTGGACATGTTATTCCTGACTTGTAATATGTCTCTTTTAATAGTGTGAATATTTGATTCCACTGTCTCCTAGCTTGTAGAGTTTCTGCTGAACAATTTGATCATAATCTAATGTTTGTTTGTTTATATCTATATGTTATTGTCTTCTTGTCCCTGGCTGCCTTGAGAATTTTTTTTGTCATTAATTTTTGACAGTTTAAATATAATGTGCCTTTGAGAAAGCCTTTTTAGATTGGGATAATTAGGTGTTCTGTTTGTTTCTTGGATTTGAGGATCCAGCTGTTTCCATAGGTTTGGGAAGTTCTCATCTACTATTTGTTTCAATGGGCTCTCTGTTCCTTTCACCTTCTCTTCACCTTCTGGAATACCCATTATTCTTATATTGCTCTTTTCTGGTAGAGTCAGATAGTTGTCATAGAGTTATTTCATTTAAAAAAAAACAAACCTTCAAGTCTCTCTCTTCTTCCCTCTGCATCATTTTTAGATTTCTGTCTTCGATATCACTAATTCTTTCCTCCATCTGGTCAGTTTTACTTCCTAAGCTCACTATTTCATTCTTTATCTTTTTTTATTGAATTCTTCATTTTCAGAATTTCTATTCGGTTCATTTTTAAGGTTTCAGTGTCTGATAAACTTTTTGTTCATTGATTTTATTTCTGAGTTTATTAAACTGGGCTATTTGTGTTTTCTTGTATCTCATTGAGTTTTTTCAGGACTGCAGTCTTGAATTCTCTATCATGTCAATCACATACTTCCACTATCTTTGTTTATATTCTGGAGAGTTTTAATTTTCTTTCCGAGCTGCCTCATCACCTTGCTTATTGATGGAATTTCATGGATTATTTCTCTGCTAGGCATATATGAAAATGAAATCTGCTTTTTTTTTTTTTAATTTAAAGAGTGGCATTTCTCTATTCAGTAGGTTGATAAGAAGTCTTTCTTTTGTTTTCCAGTAGGTGGCTCTGGAGTGCAAGTTTCCTAGTTTCCCTTGCACTGCTCTGGCTCTTGGATCCTTGTGGGGTGGTGGAAATACCTTGTATTCCCTGGGGAAGTAGGTGTCTTCTCTGTGACCAGGTCATTGCAGTCTCAGAGCATCAGTCCTATTGGGGAATGTTGTGGGTGATGGGGTTCCGAGCCTGTGAAATTCCAGCACTGCCCCTTGCAACCAGACTCTTCTGGTAGTGCAGACCTGATGGGTGGGGGTAGGATGAGCTGGGAAAGACCAGCTGGTTCCTTTGTGGCTTTGTTCTCCTTGTAGTAGTGGCAACTGCCAGACCTCAACTGCCTCACCTCCCTATCACTTGGATCACCTACATGTGCCCCACCGGACAGGGAAAAATATATCTACCTTTCCAGTTCTCAGGGCTGCAGATATTGTGCTCTGTAGCTCAGACACTGAGACCATTACTGCTTCTTCTGGAGCCTGCTGCTAGCGCTGGGAGGTGGAGAGGAAGGCAGCTGTGGGAAGGTGAACAGAGAGTGCCAGGCTTCATGGCTTTGTTTTTGTGTCTGGAAATGGCACCAGACAACAGTGGCCTCCTCTCTGCCCAGGTTACTGGGTTCATCCACAGTGCCTACTGCCCACTCCTACAGGAATGCTCACTGTGTCTCTCTGGTCCTCTGGGCTAGTGCCAGTGGCAACCTGATTCCTCCCTTGTCCCAAGACCCGCAGTGAGCTTTCAGCTACATCTGTGGCACCATCTCTGCTCTTCTCCCTTCCCTCCTTCCATTGTCACTTCAACTCACCCACCCTCAGATGTTTTAATGCACAGATCTCTCAGATGTTTGTGTATAGAGCAGGGAATCCTTAGTTCAATTATAGCTGTTCAAATTGTAACAATAAGGGAACCTCTGACCACCAGTTCTCTGATGTCACTCTCTGAGTTTGCTTTTATAGAAATACTTTTTTAGCACATTAAAAATCTTGAAGGTCTAGTTTCCTAATTTTCTGGAAAATTTAGGAATATATTTGTTTAAGCACTTATTTCTAGAAATCATTGAGACTTGAGCTCCATTAATTTAAGAAAATATAAAGAAATTATTACAGACAATGGCCTTTCTGAATTCCAGATATCATCATTATTCAGGCTATTGCCATAGGCGAATGTTTATTAATGAGGAACATCTCAAAGAAAAAGAAAGGATCCAGGAGTTCTATAGAGGCAGGTAAACAAGGAAGTCATCCGTGAGTCTTATAGGAGTCATGAAGAAGCATGAAGATGGTTCTTCCCTTGGAATATGCCAGGGCAATGTGGTCCTTTGTGGTTAACCACTTCTCAGAACACAAGTGGTGGGGAGGGGGAAGGTCTTACCCAGTGCTGATTTCTAGATTTCTAGAAGGTTTATAAATGTTTAACACTGTGATGAGATGACTCTGCTTTGTCAATTTTCTCTATAGAATTTCTCTGTATTCTTCTTTTGCTTGCCTTTTATAATTTTTGTTTTGTTTTGTTTTTCTGTGCTTATGACTTATCTCCATAACTTAATTATAGGTTCTCTGAGGGAAGGAAGTATGTCTTGCATTGATTTCTATTTCTCCTCCTCCTCATCTCCCCCCTCTTTTTGTCTCACACTTGATATTCCATTCCACCTACCCAAAAGTTACTGATATTTAATAGGAAGACAAATTATTTCTTTTCTGATGTGCTAAGACAGTAGACTTATAAGATGTAAACTTTTCAGAACTGGAAAATAACATCCAAGAACTTTCAAAGTCACATATTTAACTCTTACAGAAAATTCACAGATGAACAAATCTTTTTCTCTAATTGGTTTCTTACCTGTTGCACACCTAAGGCCATGTATTCTTTTGGTATATTATCACTGAGTTCATCCTCACGTGCAAAATCAATGTCTAGTGATATTTTATATATATATATAGATAGATATAGATATATAGATATAGATATATATTTTTTTACCAACTTCCTGCTCGCCAATATACCTGTCTTATTGACTCAGCCTGTGAACCAGGGCATTGTTCAGAATATGAAACATTATGCTAGAAGAGATTTTATGAAGTTTATGCATTGTGTAGGCACTAGAAAGATCTTACAATCTCATAGTAGTAAATATGCCATTTTAAATGATGTTCATGCCTAGCATTCCATTTCAAGTAAAATATCGGGAGAAATTAGGGGGAAAATGGACTGGATATTTGAATTCAGTGGAAGGAAAATAAACTGAAGCATTTAGAATGAGGCCATGAAAATAAATTTTAATATATTTTGGATGATAAAAATGTTCTTTTATATCTACTCAGCAAGGCTTAATGGAAGCACAATAAAAAAGTAGGTTAATGTTTACAAGAGGTTAAAGTAACACAGTATCACCAAAAGCAAAAATGTTAAAGGACACCAGTATTGTCAATGAAGACAATTTTAGTGAAGGAAATAAAATAACTTTAGAGGAGTCTGCTTCAGTCTTCATTGTAATAATTACATTTACAGAAAGGCAACCAGATTATGCTGCCCAGGAGATTATACATTTGTACATTCTACACTTACCTTTTATGATCAACAAGTGCCAAAATTTCTTTTAAAAAAAAAAATTTAGGTTATGTCATAGGGTCAGTATAGAGAATCCTGTCTCCAGCATCTTTTACATCTGGCTGAGTAGGATTGTCTTTAAGGCCCCCTCTAGATTCTAGCTTTTTAAAAGTCCTATAAGTGATAATCAGTGTTCATTATGATGACTCCAGGGTACTACAATTTTTAATGATTCCTGAATAATTGGAGAAAGTTTCTGTTTTGTTGAATATAGTTGTAACATTCTAATTCTTTGAAAATCTGGGATTCTGAATGTAAAATGTTACCAATCAACCTGAATATTTAGTTTACCAAAACACTTCATTCCCTCATCATTCTGAGGCATTTACTATATAATCTTTGTAGGTAAATTTTTGTTTTTCTAAAAAGAAGGGGGAAATGTAAGGGAATAGATCTCAAGGGTTAGATCCTTGGCTATAAAGACTCCCTTGGATTGCTTTTGGCTGTTGGCTGTAGCAACTTATTTTCTTGCAGAGATGAAGCATCTGGTTTTTGTTATCTCAATGATGTTGTCCTGGGAATATTACGATTGCGACGGAAATTTGACCGTATTCTCTATGTGGATTTGGATCTGCACCATGGAGATGGTAAGCCCTTCACTTTCAAGGGTGCTTCGCTGCTAGGACGACAGGTTTTTATCAGTAAAGTTGCTTCTAGGCAGCTTGTAAAAGGAGAAATACCTGTTGCGATGGAAATTTTCCTAATTGAGAATGCTAAAATAGGTAGAGATTCTTCTAACTGATGCAATTCTTCCTCTGCTAATAAAGCTGCTGCTTTAAAATGCCAGGTTCCTGTAATTTCTCTTCTCTCCTCCAGGAGAAAAGCTCTCCAGCAGAGAACGGTAAAAGTAGAAATCTTACCTAGTGTTTACTCCAGTGCCCAGTAACCTCCCTCAGGTCACTTTCATATATTCTTAGTGAAATCTGCAGTTAGAGCTGACAGTCTTGATGCTTCTCTCAAGTTCAGAATGGATGCATGATGAAATAACATTCTAAATTTTTCACCAATAGGGAGACCAACTCACATAGCAATTGAAATCTGTCCCACTTTCTTTGTATTGCTAAAATATTTAGTCCTGCGCAAACAAACCCCAGGCATCTTCTCTAACTTTTAACAGTAGCAGAATCATTAACAATTCGACTTAACTTCATTAATTTCTTCTTACAAGACCTCGCTGAAAGGGTGCATCCAGCCCTCCTATGTGCTTTCCATCTACCATGTAGAGCTTCAGTGACAGTTACCCACATTCTGTTTCTTTAACAAATCCTATGGGTGGCACATATTTCCATTGATCTAGGAACACTTACCCAATAAAATTAGTTAAGGGTGTTCCCTCCCTTCCCCCACCTCAGGGCTTGCTACTTCCCTGTTTCTAGGGATTTTTGCAGGCAAATGAACATAATCAAGGGAGTTACCTAGATGGATGCTACTAGGTGATGGTGACAGGAAATTAAAGGTAACCGAGAAAAGAGAGAAGAGTTAAAATAACCAACATACTACTTTGAAAACAATGTCCACTGAATATCTGAATACGCAGCCAGTGCAAAATAGCCTTGCTCGAAAAACTTCAAGAGGCTCCTTATCACCTGTAACTAGGGCCTTGTTTTTTGGATGGCCAGCAAGCTAAGAATGATTTTTTAATATTTTTACAAGGTTGTAAAGGAAAAAAAAGATGCCAGAGAGACCATGTAGTTTGGAAAGCCTAAAATATTTACCATGTAGCCACACTGGCCTATAGCAATGTGTCTCAGACCCAAGCGTATATCAAGATGACCCGGGGAAGCTTGTGTTAAAATGCAGATGCCTGGGCCACATCCCCCAGATATTCAGATTTAGTAGGTCTAGTATAGAACCTTGGAATCCACATTTCAACAATACCCCAGTTGTTCCATAGGCCATACTTTGGACAACAGTGGTCTCCATGGTCAAGTTCACACTCTTTACCTCCTCTCTCTAGCCTTCTCTCTCACAACCTGCTGTTTTCTCTACTCAGCCATCACCAAACATGTCTCAATGTGCCCACCTCCCTGATTTGGCACCACTTTTTCTAACTTAGTTTTGTTTTCTCCTCCCCTTTTGCATCTCCAAGTTCTACCCAGAAGCTCAAGTTCCAACAGTAGCAAATTTGCCCTGACCATTCCAGCCGAAGTGTTATCTACCCTGCTCAACTGTATTGTTTATATTACTGATGTGATATTTAATTATATATTGTCTTGTATTGTTAATTCTTTAATCTGTCTATGTCTTCTCCTCCCATAGAAACTTTCAGTTACTCCAAAACAGAGATCAAGTTGTTTACTTGAACCATGGCTTGAACAAACAGAGCTGTGCATGCGTTATAGTAGAGGTTCAGTAAAATATCTGTTGAATGAATGAATGATTATGAAATTCAATCTATTAGTATTAGAGTTTAAGAATAGCATCAACTCTATTGAACCATGTAAGAACGAAATAAGACTGTCACCTGAAACCGTTTTTTCCATTTGCAATGTTATTTCTACACCATTTAGAGTTTCCTGTTTTAGCCAACTTTTATGGTGTGTTTCATTTCAGTTTATTTCCCCTCTTCAGCACCTCCCTTCCAGTGACCCCTGCCCCACCTCCAAATTCTTACACATTCGGTTTATTTTAAATCTCCCATGATTCCATAACTAGCATTTTGTGGTGGCTTCACTAGCAGTGGTGCCTGTCTTCACCTTCTTTCTTCTCCTACCTACAACTCTTATTCACCCGAAACCCGGCCCTCCACCTATCTGTCTGTGCAAAGTAGAATTTCCTAACAATGCCTAACGGCATTTCCTGTGAGAAGAGATACAAATGGGTACTAAACATATGAAAAGGTGCTCAAAACCCTAATACCCAAAGAAATGCAAATTAGAACAAGGCCATTATTTCTGCCTAAGATGAAAAAGAATAATAACATCCAGTGCTAGTCAGAGTGTGAAGAATGGGAACTCTCTGACCCCATTGACAGAAGTGTAAATTGGTACCACCTTTCTGCATGGATAAATAATCAGAATTTTCTGGAAGTATAAATAATTATCCTTCAGTTTCTAAGTAAAAATGCTATTTTAATTTATTTTGTTTTGTTTACTTAATGCTTTGTGCCTAGAGCCTTTAACTGGTTTTAACTGCTTCCCTAGGGCAAAACATAAGGCTTGGGAAATTCAAACATACTTGTGATATACAAATAGAGTTCATATTTTTAAGGTCACTGTCGACCTCTCTAATGAAGGCTGAACACATTAAGTAAACACAGAGACAATTTCTTTATTTGAAGTATTAAAGAGTAGAGTGCATGAATTTGCTAATAGTCCTTCCCTTTACCGAGGGATTACTGTGTGTGACAATGTGTGATTCAGGGAGGAAAGGTGTGGAGGCGGGCAGTCTGTTTATTTGAATAAGTAATGGCTTATAAGAGTGACATCTTCTAACTCCCAGGCCTCTATTCGTTTTCTTACTCTGTTTAAATGGAAAGGAGACTCCTTTCTAGAAATGTGTCCCCCCCCTCCCCCATCTATTTCCAAGCTGCTCTGAAGGGACAAGGCCAGGGCTACTTTCACTCTTCTGTGTTTTAGCCAGAGATACACTGTAAGTCACCTTGTACCCATCGAGTCTGTATCATGGAGAGGCAATTTACAGTTAGGTTATTGCTACACAATGCTTCATGTGTGTATTAGTCGCATGTTTAAACAGGCTGCCACATTGTGCTTATTTTGTACTAATTCCTAATAATTTAACTAGAACCACTGAAACAAAGCAAAATGTAAAACTTCCAAGATGGTGCCAGTTTCCTCTGCGAATGCCTCAGTTCTGAGCTCAAGCCCATCCCCACCTTTTTGAACAGGTTGTCAGAGAGCCTGATCACCCCATTGCTTGAAAAGGGGAAGTCCACTTTCAATTCTCCATGAATTTGAAAAGGAACCTCATCCTGTAATGACAGAGATAAAAGACCAGAGGGTTTTGTTACATCATTCCTCAGCTTGTTACCTTTATTATTGTCACCTTCTCCTTTCTCTTCCTTTCCACAGCTGCTTTCTAGAGTTTCAGTGGTTGAAACAGGAGTTGCACATATGAAGTGATTCTTCTGTTTCTTTTTCTGGTAGGTGTAGAAGATGCCTTCAGTTTCACCTCCAAAGTCATGACGGTGTCCCTGCACAAATTCTCTCCAGGATTTTTCCCAGGCAAGTGATCTTTGTGCTCAGCATTACATTTGAGGAATAAATGCTGCAGTTCTTCTATACATTTCTTATATCTTATATTTGAATAGTTCAATGCTATTAATACCTTATTGGTGCTACTTTATGCAAAATTTTAACACAGGTCATTTCAGGTGACAGTGATAAGAGAAATATGATGCCGTTTCTTACTTCAAATGACTTCTATGGACTGTCAATAGATAGCTCACTTACCCTTACTGTGCTATCAGATGCCCTGCGTCACTCCTGATCATTGCAATTATATATTAATATTATGTCACTCTCAGATATAAGGAAAGTCAAGCACAGGAGTTAATCTCTTTTTGCCCCAGCCAGATGCAATCTGAGGTTTTTCCATTTTCTAATTTTCTGCTTCCCAAACATTGTTTCCAACAGTCACTTTTCCATATTATTTTAATTTCATTCCTTCAGAAAAACCATCCCAGAATGGTGCTCCCCGTTGACCTTTTGGTCTTCTGAATTCCTATCAGAGAGTCCTTCAACTTTTCAAATTCTCATGTTCTTAAAGCTGTTCATTGTGCCCATCTCTTTTACAGGAACAGGCGATGTGTCTGATGTTGGCCTAGGGAAGGGACGGTACTACAGTGTGAATGTGCCCATTCAAGATGGCATACAGGATGAGAAGTATTACCACATCTATGAAAGGTATGGCAGTAATGCTGAGCCAGTAACAGGTGGATTACATTTCTGTAAGATGAAGTGGCCACAATCTTACAGATTTCTTGTTTTCAAAGAACAATTTTTTTTGGGGGGGGGAAGGTAGTGTATACTTACGTAGCATTTGTACACTGTTTATTATGCTTATTTGATCAAGTAACCATCCCGTGTGGGAGAGTCGAGTGTTTGGACCCAGCGCCACACTCTTGGTTTGATGTCACTACCTACCCTGTGTGAATAAGGCCATCCCAAAAGCAAAGTTTCTAGGCTGCCTTTGAAGTTCCTTGTCTGCTACTTTCTTAGCTGAAATCTGCATGTATGTAATCTCATAGCCTGGGAGGGTCCGCTTCAGTTTTCTGTTATGGAGATCTGCCTCCGTCCACCAGTGTGAATATTAGAGAATCTTTATTATGAGTCCTTGAGTTCTAGTTGTTGTGTTAAAATTGGAGTCAGAAATCTGTTCTTTTTACATCAAGTTTATTGTATTAAATTATAGTCACTTGTAGGCAAACAGTTGGTTGTAATGTATAGACCACTGGGGCTGAAAAGTGCTACAGAACGAGGTGGGGGACTATACCCATATTCATAAAAATTGAGCTTGGCCCTGGCCAGTGTGGCTCAGTTGTTTGGAGAATCATCTTGTGCATCAGAAGGTCATGGGTTCGGTTCCCAGTCAGGGCACAGAGTTAGATTGTGGGTTCATTTCCTGGTTGGGGTGCATGTGGGAGGCAACAGATCTCTCTCTCTCTCTCTCTCTCCCCCCCCCCTCTCTCTCTCTACCCCTCCTTCTCTCCCTTCCTCCCTCTCTAAAATCAATTAAAAAATTGAGATTGATCATGTATAAATTCACTGCTGACATTGGCAATAGAGAAAGTGAGTTTGAGCAGAAGTCAGCAAGTGAACATTACTCCACTCTGCTCAGATTTTTCCCAAGCAACCTGTGATAAAAACAGGGATTTCCCAAAGGCAGTTGTATAAACAAAGTAGAAGTATTAAAAAAGGAAAAAAAAAAACTTTGTTTCAAAGGTGTCTCTTAGCTGAAGACATTTGGTGGGCCAAGTGATCACGCAGCTCTGGCCTCTTCAGGATTTTGATCATGTTCCCTGGCTACCTCTATGTTGTCAGAGGGAAAAGGCCTTTTTCAGAGCCTGCCGTGGACAGTTTTAATTGCCCTCCTCTGTGCGACTTAGGCCGTGTTCTGTCCTTGACACGTGCAGATCGGAGCTGCGTGTGTAGGGTCACTGATGGAGATGTCCTGTGGTTCTGTGTAAAAGAGAATTCTTTTTTATGCCATGACAGGAAACTAGGTTGTTACCTTCAACACCCTGTACACAGAGTTTCCTAGAGTTCTTTCCTGGACCTTCATGGAAAGGTCAGCACCCAGAATCCTCCAAGTGTACTTTATAATATCTGGCCCTCCATAAATGGACTACGTGACACGTGCCTCTATTGAAGCTCATCTGCCAATCATAATACCTCCTGAGACCTTCCTTTAGCCTCTGTCAGCGTGGCACTTTACTGCCTGGAAATGCTGAGTATCATCTGCAGACTTGAGAATTTCCCAGGGGCCGCCCCCAAGGAAGTCTACTATTTACCCTTCTTCAGTCACAAAAATGTCTGTTTCTCCCCTAGTTTTCTTTTTCTCTTTCTCTAAACTAGTCCCTACTATATGGTAAGGAACATATTTTAAATTTTGTGATAATCCATGTTTGAAAAGAGCCTTGGTATCAAAATTAATCAGAAGCATTTTAAAAGTGAGTTTAGCCCCAAGGAAAAGCTCTATGGAAGATCACACATGATTTCTCTTTACAGAAACCCTGTTACCTTTCTCACCCCAGTGTACAGGAGGCCAGCATTTATTAAAGATTCTTCCAGCTTGCCTACTGAAGTACCAGACACTCATCAGTGTGTGGTTCCCAGGGCCCCTTTGCACAGGGATCATCCAGGATAACAGGTTCCAGGTTTTCATTAGAGATACAATCATTTTCCCCTTTGATTTCTTTCAGAAGTCAAGTCTGGTCAGGGTGTTATGTGAAGGCACCTCTGATTGCAAGGATGCCAGGGAGCCTTCCTGACCCAACATCTCTCCCATCTGTTGGACTAATATCTGAAATTCCTTTAACAGGAAACATACTTTCATTCTACAATGAGAAATAGACCTTGAAATGGAATTTGGTCACAACCTGTCCTCCTCGCTTGCACTCTGCTGTAAGGTGTGTGGTTCACACAGTGCTTTTCTTGGCAGCAGATTTTGAGAGGGTTGGAGCGTGAGCACCCTGAGCATTCCGAGCAGCAGGCATCGAGTCCCAGAGCAGCAGAGGGAAGGGAAACCAAACCAAACCAGTCTTTGCCAATGAAATAGTTTTGCAGAGGATGGACCATGGTAACTAGATCACTTGGCCCCAGTCATTATGCTTGTGACTACTTCTGGTTTGTTGCCAGGGTCTCTTGCACATTTGCCATTATGACCTCTGACCCATCTGCCTGCCTCGGATGATATATAGTAGACACAGGAATGGATTACTGATGTAAAGAAGTCATTTGGTATATCTACTATCTCCTTTTCATCCTTTCTGTTCCATGAGCCCACTGATTTTCTGGGTCACTCCTAACCTGGGATAAATAAAGGAACTCTTTATTGCTGGTTCACTTGCAAGATGCTCTAATTCTTGTTTGTCACTCAGTTTCTAGTTTGCTCCTGGTAACTGCCTCTCCCTGTGGGATTCATGAGACCTTTTTCTCTCACTTCCTTCTTCCTTTTCACCCTCCTTGCTTCCCTCCCATTCTTCCTTCCTCCCCTTCTTCCTTTAAAGGTTTTGCCTCTGCTATGTTTTTGACTGCTAGCTAGTTAGGCAGGACTTAATGGTTTCATCTTAAAGTTGAACATGCCCCCTTTATTTTAAAAAATGTCTTTGGGTTTATTTTTTAATAGGCCAGACATATGATCTTTATGTGAATGTTTTCAACATGAAAAGACCTTGGGTTCCATTTTATGTAAAAGAGAATGTCAAGGTCAGAGCTTCCTATGACATTCAATACAAATTTAGAAGGGTAGGGTCACTGATTCCCATAATTTCCATGTGAGCTATTGGAACTGGGATTACAAATAGAGCCCTGTTTTAACCAGCATAAAGGAACATGAACATTGTTCTGGAAAATATACCTCCTCCTTCAGATAGAAGTTATGGCCCCAAGATATTATTGATTTACGTAGAAGTTCACATCCCTCCTCAGCCACATGCACAGGTACACACACAGTTTGGGGGAGAGGAAGGCTGTTTTGCCAAAGGGAGGGTTAGCTAGTTCCCAAGCTCTGATATCTAAGAGAGGAAATACGACTTTGTATATGTTTAACCTGTTCGCTCTCTAACTGTATTTGAATGCAGTGTGAGATAGTTTTAATAATATTTAAGCTATTACCCACACGCTGTGTTGATGACTTTGGGAGTGTTTATAGTTAAGGACTGTGGGAGAGAAGGACAATGACAAGTACTTCCTGGCTGTTGGTTCAAGACAGGTTTTAATAAATAGTAGGGTGCCACTCTGAACCTCAAATCTTGCAGGATGACCAAAGGACTCACCCACTGTGACCTGTCATGGTATACGTGTAGTTTGAAGAAGAAAATCAGAGTTGTGCTTAAACTTCTTAGTTTGTATTTCACCTATAATTTTACAGCTCTAATAGCCAGAAAACAATTCTTTACTCAATGTCCAATTATTAGCATATATCTCATAGGAGAGCTATATATATAGTGCTTTTAATGTGTGTGGATTCAAACTACACTGAAGCGGACAGTTCAACATTTTGAAAAAAAAACAAAACCTCACATTTTATTAAGAATATTCAACTATTCAACTTTGTGAGGTAATTAAGTGCAGACACTGTATAAATATTTCACCAAAATGAAAACACATTGTTAAACAGACTTTTCAATGAATAGGACTTATGAAAGGCTCTGTTAGGCAGGGCTTCTCATTCAATAGCAGTCTTTATATCCACATATGCAAAACTTTGCTGGTAAGAGCTATCAATCCAACCAAAAGAATAATCTTATTCTAGGGAACTACGGTTCATAATGGTAGTTATTGAAATAAAAATCTACCTGTATTTGGTCCTTGGTCCTGTACCTTGAGTCCTATAGCTTATATTCTATAATTAAAATGCAAAGAAATCTTTTTTCCCCCCATTGAAGACCACTGACCTAAAGGAAAATTCAGAGATCCTAGGAGTATAAAAAACCCCACAACCTAGTATTTTTGCCTCCTTTTACTGGAGAAATATTATACTTTTCTATTTTAAATAATTTTTATAGCTCTTCAACTGCTTTTTTCAAACATTAATTCTGCGCATGGGCTAACCAGAATAGCCCATCCAGAAAGAACTTGTCCTCCAGGACAATAGCAAGCTCATTAAAGGAATAGCTTATTTAAGCCTAAGTTTTTATTCCTGTGGGGATTCCTTTGTCCATCTGTAGGGAGCTCCACTGCTAGCCAACAAGAAAGAGAAAAAAATATATGACTAATACTTAATATACATATACTTCTGTAGTATATGTTTATTGTGTGAGAATTTTCCTTAGACCCTGACATAGCCTCTGAGGTCCAAGTCAGTGATGTTTTAAGCACAGGATCCATTCCTGTGGGTCTGGGGCCAAGATTCACCTCTCTGAAGCCACTCTGACCTTCCTACAAAAAAATTGAGCACCTTAAGAGACCTTATGATTTTTTTAAACATTAATTTCTAAGAATAAAGGGGAAGGAGCTACCATGCAACAACATGGGAGATTTGTGTATCTTTAAGTATAATGACATTGTTTTATTCATTTGTCTGGCAAATGTTTATTGAGTGTCTGCTTTATGCCATCTTGTAAGTGAGAAAACTGGAACTTAGAAAGTGATTTGCACAAGGTTGCTCGGCTAGTAAGTGGTGAAGGCAGCGTTAGAACCCATGTCTCTCTGCCTATTAACCATCAGCTACGTTGTCCCCA